ATTGAAGAATATTCTTCAATATTGAAGAATATTCTTCAATATTGAAGAATATTCTTCAATATTGAAGAATAATCTTCAATATTGAAGAATATTCTTCAATATTGAAGAATATTCTTCAATATTGAAGAATATTCTTCAATATTGAAGAATATTCTTCAAATATTGAAGAATATTCTTCAATATTATTCTTCAATATTGAAGAATATTCTTCAATATTGAAGAATATTCTTCAATATTGAAGAATATTCAATATTGAAGAATATTCTTCAATATTGAAGAATATTCTTCAATATTGAAGAATATTCTTCAATATTGAAGAATATTCTTCAATATTGAAGAATATTCTTCAATATTGAAGAATTCTTCAATATTGAAGAATATTCTTCAATATTGAAGAATATTCTTCAATATTGAAGAATATTCTTCAATATTGAAGAATATTCTTCAATATTGAAGAATATTCTTCAATATTGAAGAATATTCTTCAATATTGAAGAATATTCTTCAATATTGAAGAATATTCTTCAATATTGAAGAATATTCTTCAATATTGAAGAATATTCTTCAATATTGAAGAATATTCTTCAATATTGAAGAATATTCTTCAATATTGAAGAATATGATTAATCTTCAATATTGAAGAATATTCTTCAATATTGAAGAATATTCTTCAATATTGAAGAATATTCTTCAATATTGAAGAATATTCTTCAATATTATATTCTTCAATATTGAAGAATATTCTTCAATATTGAAGAATATTCTTCAATATTGAAGAATATTCTTCAATATTGAAGAATATATTGAAGAATATTCAATATTGAAGAATATTATTCAATATTGAAGAATATTCTTCAATATTGAAGAATATTCTTCAATATTGAAGAATATTCTTCAATATTGAAGAATATTCTTCAATATTGAAGAATATTCTTCAATATTGAAGAATATTCTTCAATATTGAAGAATATTCTTCAATATTGAAGAATATTCTTCAATATTGAAGAATATTCTTCAATATTGAAGAATATTCTTCAATATTGAAGAATATTCTTCAATATTGAAGAATTCTTCAATATTGAAGAATATTCTTCAATATTGAAGAATATTCTTCAATATTGAAGAATATTCTTCAATATTGAAGAATATTCTTCAATATTGAAGAATATTCTTCAATATTGAAGAATATTCTTCAATATTGAAGAATATTCTTCAATATTGAAGAATATTCTTCAATATTGAAGAATATTCTTCAATATTGAAGAATATTCTTCAATATTGAAGAATATTTATTCAATATTGAAGAATATTCTTCAATATTGAAGAATATTATTGAAGAATAATATTATTGAAGAATATTCTTCAATATTGAAGAATATTCTTCAATATTGAAGAATAATATTCAAATATTCTTCAATATTGAAGAATATTCTTCAATATTGAAGAATATTCTTCAATATTGAAGAATATTCTTCAATATTGAAGAATATTCTTCAATATTGAAGAATATTCTTCAATATTGAAGAATATTCTTCAATATTGAAGAATATTCTTCAATATTGAAGAATATTCTTCAATATTGAAGAATATTCTTCAATATTGAAGAATATTCTTCATATATTGAAGAATATTCTTCAATATTGAAGAATATTCTTCAATATTGATATTCTTCAATAATATTGAAGAATATTCTTCAATATTGAAGAATATTCTTCAATATTGAAGAATATTCTTCAATATTGAAGAATATTCTTCAATATTGAAGAATATTCTTCAATATTGAAGAATATTCTTCAATATTGAAGAATATTCTTCAATATTGAAGAATATTCTTCAATATTGAAGAATATTCTTCAATATTGAAGAATATTCTTCAATATTGAAGAATATTCTTCAATATTGAAGAATATTCTTCAATATTGAAGAATATTCTTCAATATTGAAGAATATTCTTCAATATTGAAGAATATTCTTCAATATTGAAGAATATTCTTCAATATTGAAGAATATTCTTCAATATTGAAGAATATTCTTCAATATTGAAGAATATTCTTCAATATTGAAGAATATTCTTCAATATTGAAGAATATTCTTCAATATTGAAGAATATTCTTCAATATTGAAGAATATTCTTCAATATTGAAGAATATTCTTCAATATTGAAGAATATTCTTCAATATTGAAGAATATTCTTCAATATTGAAGAATATTCTTCAATATTGAAGAATATTCTTCAATATTGAAGAATATTCTTCAATATTGAAGAATATTCTTCAATATTGAAGAATATTCTTCAATATTGAAGAATATTCTTCAATATTGAAGAATATTCTTCAATATTGAAGAATATTCTTCAATATTGAAGAATATTCTTCAATATTGAAGAATATTCTTCAATATTGAAGAATATTCTTCAATATTGAAGAATATTCTTCAATATTGAAGAATATTCTTCAATATTGAAGAATATTCTTCAATATTGAAGAATATTCTTCAATATTGAAGAATATTCTTCAATATTGAAGAATATTCTTCAATATTGAAGAATATTCTTCAATATTGAAGAATATTCTTCAATATTGAAGAATATTCTTCAATATTGAAGAATATTCTTCAATATTGAAGAATATTCTTCAATATTGAAGAATATTCTTCAATATTGAAGAATATTCTTCAATATTGAAGAATATTCTTCAATATTGAAGAATATTCTTCAATATTGAAGAATATTCTTCAATATTGAAGAATATTCTTCAATATTGAAGAATATTCTTCAATATTGAAGAATATTCTTCAATATTGAAGAATATTCTTCAATATTAAAGAATATTCTTCAATATTAAAGAATATTCTTCAATATTAAAGAATATTATTCAATATTGAAGAATATTCTTCAATATTGAAGAATATTATTCAATATTGAAGAATATTATTCAATATTGAAGAATATTCTTCAATATTGAAGAATATTCTTCAATATTGAATAATATTAATATTGAATATTGAATTGAATATTCTTCAATATTGATTAATATTATTGATATTAATATTATTAATATTGAAGAATATTCTTCAATATTGAAGAATATTCTTCAATATTGAAGAATATTCTTCAATATTGAAGAAATTCTTCAATATTGAAGAATATTCTTCAATATTGAAGAATATTCTTCAATATTGAAGAATATTCTTCAATATTGAAGAATATTCTTCAATATTGAAGAATATTCTTCAATATTGAAGAATATTCTTCAATATTGAAGAATATTCTTCAATATTGAAGAATATTCTTCAATATTGAAGAATATTCTTCAATATTGAAGAATATTCTTCAATATTGAAGAATATTCTTCAATATTGAAGAATATTCTTCAATATTGAAGAATATTCTTCAATATTGAAGAATATTCTTCAATATTGAAGAATATTCTTCAATTCAATATTCTTCAATATTGAAGAATATTCTTCAATATTGAAGAATATTCTTCAATATTGAAGAATATTCTTCAATATTGAGGAATATTCTTCAATATTGAAGAATATTCTTCAATATTGAAGAATATTCTTCAATATTATTGAAGATTATTCTTCAATATTGAATAATATTCTTCAATATTGAGGAATATTGTTCAATATTATTGAATATTATTCAATATTGAAGAATAATCTTCAATATTGAATAATAATCTTCAATATTGAAGAATATTCTTCAATATTGAAGAATATTCTTCAATAATATTGAAGAATATTCTTCAATATTGAAGAATATTCTTCAATATTGAAGAATATTCTTCAATATTGAAGAGTATTCTTCAATATTGAAGAATATTCTTCAATATTGAAGAATATTCTTCAATATTGAAGAATATTCTTCAATATCTTGAAGAATATTCTTCAATAATATTGAAGAATATTCTTCAATATTGAAGAATATTCTTCAATATTGAAGAATATTCTTCAATATTGAAGAATATTCTTCAATATTGAAGAATATTCTTCAATATTGAAGAATATTGAAGAATATTCTTCAATATTATTGAAGAATATTCTTCAATATTATTGAAGAATATTCTTCAATATTATTGAAGATTATTCTTCAATATTGAACAATATTCTTCAATATTGAAGAATATTATTCAATATTGACGAATATTATTGAAGATTATTCTTCAATATTGAGGAATATTCTTCAATATTGAGGAATATTCTTCAATATTATTGAAGATTATTCTTCAATATTGAGGAATATTCTTCAATATTGAGGAATATTCTTCAATATTGAAGAATAATATTCAATATTGAAGAATAATATTCAATAATATTGAAGATTATTATTCAATATTGAAGAATAATCTTCAATAATATTGAAGATTATTCTTCAATATTGAAGAATATTCTTCAATATTGAAGATTATTCTTCAATATTGAAGATTATTCTTCAATATTGAAGATTATTCTTCAATATTGAGGAATATTCTTCAATATTGAGGAATAATCTTCAATAATATTGAAGAATAATATTCAATATTGAAGAATAATATTCAATAATATTGAAGATTATTCTTCAATATTATTGAAGAATATTGCTCAATATTGAAGAATATTCTTCAATATTGAGCAATATTCTTCAATATCGAAGATTATTATTCATAACTTATTACTATTCCTCAGAACTATATTTAGATAATATTGAAATCAATATTATTAAATAGTAAGTTATAATAATATTTTTTTATTATTCATGTTTTTCACAACTGTTATTTACTAGTGATTACTTTTTATATTTTACAAATGATATCTTCTTCTTCCGAATTCATAACCTACCAAAGCTCTTCAATGATTGATATTCAATTTTCACACAACCTTACTTTTCAATCAAAGCACGTTTATATAAAATATGTACATGCGTACATGTCACCTGTGACTTTTTTAGAGACAAAACACATGAGGTTGTTATAAACAAATAAACAAAAAACAACCTTCAATTCAAGTATGTTTATTGACACAATAATAAATACATCTCAAAGGGATACAGTACTTTAGGGTATTTATACTCTACTTGCAGAACCTCAAACGGCCCTAAAAATACACAATACAAGAATCCTGTTTAATATAGTAAGCACACCATATAAATGTTAGACTCTTTGGGAACATTTCTTGTAGCTCCGAGCTATACTGTCTATCATAATGATATCACACAAACACAATTTTAAGTGCTACACTAATTATTGAAGTTTCTATACTTATGAATAAGTTGACACTACAAACAACCTTATGTATTCAACTTCAACTATGTTATTGGAGACAACTGAACTAAATCATATTATAAACTCACGAGTACCTTTGGGTATTTCTACCCATTCAAGCTCCAAAACTTCACATATACAACATTCAAATTTCACGTTAATATAGTACTATCTAGGTATATTATTGTACATCCACCCCAACAAATTTTAACACATTAACGCTCAAACATAATATTCTCACTATACTTTCTTCCATGATTAATATTAAAACTATCTTGGCCATGTCCCTCACATTCAGTGACATACGGGATTTCCTCACACAGTAACTATTGTGCAAGTCAAACATATTACAAACGTCAAAGGTATTATTCATATATATTTTTTTTTAATGGTAACATTTATTTTATTAGATATTATTAACTATTTATTTGATAACGATTTACTCCATAATAATAATAAATGCATTATTTATAATGATTTACAATTAATAACTACATCTATACGTACTATATTAAACTTGCATTCATTTCATTACACTATATACAATTCATGCGATTATTTCTTGCCTATCTACAGGCTTATCACTTTGGGGGTTCCCGCTGAACACACCGAAGGGCGAACGCGGCGGCTGCCCGCTGTAACTAGGAATCTCTGTCGACCTCATGGGCGCAGTACTCTCCCCGCGGGCTCCATCCATTTTACTTCTTCACCAATGCTGTACCTTGTGCTCCTTCCGTAGTCGGTTCTGGAAGTATTAAAGCAGTAAGGGTGGGCACAAACGGACATGAAGTATCAACCTGACAGCCAAACAACATAACCCTTAAGGGTACTGCTGGAATTACTTTCTAACACGAGGGGGACTTTTCCGGAAGCGAACTGCCCAAGTGTCATTATTGGATAAAGCCACGGTGATACCCTGTGGAAAACTCTGAAAATGGACACTGGCACAGGGGAAAGCAGTGACTAGAGGGGAAAGCAAGAGAAAAACGTCTTCCAGGAATGTAGTCGCTAGCGATGTAAGGTAACTACCAACCCGAGCACAACTTTAGCCGGAAAAACAAACACAAGTACAAACAGGTGTGTCTGTTGGTGGGGGGGGGGGGGGGAACAGTTACCGTATCTGGGTCAAGGGCACAAGTTATTCCAGGGGGAGGAATCTAGCAACCAATAATTCATTTCAAACTATTCCTATACATTAATATAAACAAACAAAACATTAACTATTTATATGACCACTATGTATATAATATCAAATCAATATATCAATAAAACCATATTTCAAATATAAGAAACAGGTCCTAAGGCGCAACTGCAACATGCTTGCGTCCAGAGTGACAAATTATAACGATGCTAACAGCGTCCGATACATTCACCTCCATTGTATCTTGGCCTCCGAAAGCATGTTACACCTCAATAGTTACCCTAACAAACTGCCTTAACAGCCGTAAATTACTTTAGTCTCAGTGTCAATGAGCATCTGCGAGCACCAGTACCCCAAGAACTTAAATATCTCGCAATCTGAGGCAAAGTGAAATGGACACCAGCAACGCTACGGATCCCTAATTGTAAAACGTCTCCATAAACCAGCGGCCTGGAACGCCGCATATTAATAACAATATAAATATAATACCTGAATAACATCGCCGCCTTAACTCATCACAGGAAGAACGTTGCCTCCACACCACCCCATGAACGCAGTCACCTAAGACGGCAGTGGCTATCACAACCTTCCTGGCTACATTGGCCAGACAAAAACGTGTGCATAAACAAGCACCCTGGGAACCAGCACTATCTTCCGGCCTACACCGACCACACAACACGTCGGATAACCACCGCCCTGGGAGGCCACACATGTCTCCATAAACCACCAACCGGGAGCCTCCACATTCTTTCGCCCTACACCGCCCACACAAAACTAATGTAAACTTTTACTGCTACTGGTAAACGAAAATCATGCTGCCTACCTGTCACTACTTAATAACTTCATGACAAACTCAAGAAAACAAGTATAAAGGTAAAACGCTAAGTAAAATGACATGCACTGAAGCAATGCATAACTAGCAATATATTGCTGAAGGAACTAATCATAATATGAGTCCAAGATCAACTTAACAGCGACAGCCATGAGGCCCGAAGACAGCGTCTAGGACATCCTAGCTGACTAACTTATGCTTCACCTTTAAGTTAACTAAACAAACAAATGTAAAACAACCACAAACATCCACCTTGACAATGCATAACATTCATTAATAAATTAAGGAAATTTATCGAAATTATAAATCAATGAAAACTTAAAGCTACGGGCCGGAGGCCTCTGACACAGCACGTAGCCTAACCTAGCTCACTTTACCTATTAACTTCAAAGCGATAACCATCATGATAAACAAACATAAGTGGAAACAATTAATAAATAAATACACATGCAGCAACACGCTGCATAATTTGCGGGAATAGTTAGGTGATGTAACTAAACGTCAATGCAGGGCCAGTAATCTTAAAGCGAGGGGCAGGGGGGGGGGGTGGAGGGGGGGGGGCCTACTCCAAGCCTATCACAGCCTACCTGAGTTACTTGATAACTTATAGTTAAACAATAAAAAAAACAAGTAGAGTAAATCACGTGCAGCTTGACCCAAATAAATTTCAGTAATAAATTGACGTACATTAATGCTACACAATACAAAAATATTCTTAAAACTCAAACCCATCAGGCTTGTAACTCACGAACTAGCACAACCTAGGTTACTTAATACATAACTCAATACAAGATCCAACAGTTTTAATATTTTACTAACACATGCACGGGGCCAATGCATCATTTGTAATAAATTTAACAGAAACAATTCGTAGTTGCAAGCCCAAGCAAGGTAACACCAAGAGCCTTGGACCCGTGATGCGGGTCCAAGATACATAAATTGCGGTTAATTAATTTGTCAGCCGTAACACATTGTAAGTGAAAGACAATAATATAACATTTTATATAGCCACCGTTTAGAGTACGGTCAGTCAATTACAGTCAATGATCTAACAATACATTCACGTCTGCTTTACATTTATATCTATAACAAATTTATCTTCATTTCGGTAACCTTTCCCATATATTACAAACTTATTAATTTCCCATTCTAGGCAATAAAATATCATTTATTTATATACACAAAAAGGTACATTGGGTTGGTTACAATACATAGCATGCTATTTACACTTGTAACGCCATTAGTACGCGCAGCCTTTCGGCCAGCTCCTTAAGTAACATTAATTTTAACTAAATCAATTCTAGCGCAATTATAATGATTTTTCCAATGTATCAAAGAAAATACTCGACATGAGATTACAGACATTAGTAGGTACAGCTATATTCAACAATATTGCTTTATTAAACCTCAGATTGCATTGACACCTTGATTGGTAATTGATACTAAGATTAATAGGCACCACAGCAAATTTAAACCACATAAGACACCAATGATCACAATGGTCAAGTTTTTGCCATTGGGTACATGATTGGGTAACACTAGATACAGTGCACTTTTAAATCAACAATGTGGGAAACTATGAACATGCATTTAGGTAATTTTTACTTCAATTATTAGGTACTTCATTACGAAAATTACGTTTACGATATTAGGAGATTACAGTAACAAATATATTAAGAAATTAGGTACTTCTACTTTAATTATGATTCCCTACAACTATCTATTCCTTTATGATTCAACAATTCCCCCACAATATTTCATATTACATCATCATATTACAATATTGCATTACTACATCAACTATATATTTCCCCTTCCTTGACCAGACCACATATTTACTGACCTCTGTTAGCACACGCCTAGGCGAGTCCATCCTATTTCTCTATTGTATATATACTGCAATTTATTAGCAATCAACAGTAATAAAAATTAAAATCAAACTGGATATCTACTCACAATCAAATTACATGCTAGACGATTATGCACTATAAACATTTACAACCATATTTAATTCTTTCGTACCTTGTATGGAACACAAACTTGATCCTTCAACAGCTGGAGGTTGTGTCCCTAGAGTAACTACACAGGATGGTACCAACGTCATCCACGTCGAGGGTACTCAAGCGTGTCACCTGCGAAACTATAATGTATTCAGGATTCTGAACATTCATATACGATAAACATTCCTTATCACAATTACTATCTCAAACACACGGCCATGCACTGCTCCAAAAACAACACGGCTTGGGAGGGAGGGGGGTGCCTCATGGGACACGTTTGAAATGGGACATTCACCCAGTTATGAACAAAGCCCCACTCAACCTTCCAGACACTGTGGTGGGGGGGGGGAGAGCTTTTATCAACTAAGCTTAATCTCTTCTCTGGGAGCTGCGAGTGTGTGAGCTGTTCATGTGTATTTCACCATCTATACATGAATACCGCGTAGCATTCATATATACACACACCAAACCTTCCACAAGTTATGTTCACTTCAACCCATTTACTTGATTATATAATCAAGTGTTCCCTCTACTAAGGCTGGGTCTCAGGACGTCTAATGCTCAAAGTACACCACATGATTCATTCAGGATTGATAATATATTTACTACTAGTGGCGATTTCCCTGTTATGGACTAAGTAACTAAATTCTTGGAGGAAGATGTGTTGAAATGAACATATCACACTCACCTGCAGGTCACAGCCTCTTCCATTACTCTGCAGTGTGGCGTTGGTTGCCCTCCACCAATGCGGCTTTCTTCACAAATACACACTTCACCATTGCTCTGTTTCGCCCAGCTCCCACCTCCTCTCCACACGCTGATCTGCAGGAAATATAATGCATAATATCCATCCATTTAACCTTGACAACATTTCTTAAGGGCTAAAACCATCTATTTATCATTACTCTAGTCAAAACTCCTTACACAATTTTTTCTTCCCTACGAATTCATTTGCTCAAATATCATTGTATAATTCAACCTCTAACAATTTGTATATTACTTTCTGATTTGTCTAAATCACTTTAAATGAGGGAAAAGTAGAATAAATACCCAAACATGTCTTGCACCTCTGACGAGTGCTAATTCTTTTCAATACCATCAAAGCGCACCCATGGCAATACCCTTCCCCACACTCAAAACACCATGTCGGCTATACCTATACTCCGAAGCTAAACACGACATTTACAACTCTTCGGTTTCCTTAACCGCGCATAATCATCCTCCCTCCCCCCAATAACCGTGTATGTTACACTTCTGGCTAGACAACATTAACTGCCCAATAATTACCTACCAGTAGTAATTCCGGTACCTATATCACCACATAGTGTCGTTTCCCTCGAACATTATGAGGCAGTATGTTCCTAGTACACATTTCTCAATTAACAATATAAAAAAATACACACCACATACTTCCTGCTACACAATGATAACCAACAGATCGTGCAACAATAGCTGAAGCTCAACCTTAAGTCACTTTTGTGACTTACTGACATGTTTCTTTCACTTTGCCATACACTACTCGTGGAGCGCACGCTATCCCGCTCACTACACAATTACACAAATATCAACAACATAAGCACAACCTACACACTCCCACGTGTACCGTCGCCACCCACCTACAGTAAACAACACAAATACTGTCACGAGGCTCACATCTCGAGTTTAAATTAATCAGCCATTGGTCGCAAGTCAACCTGAACCTTCACATCACATACACGTATAAATCATATTGTAGAGCTTTATTTTTTTATGAGATCTTTGTCCTACGAAGGTAGCGCTTATTTCATGCTGTATAGTTATTATAAACCAATTCACTTAATAATGTCAGTAACATTTCATTAGTAACTGTTTAATGTTACTTATCACCTATGTACGTCAAACCACTCTGCTAAATTTACCTGTCTACTGCCTTCGACCAGGACAGGAACGCTACGTATTCTCAAAGGTTCTCCCCCCTCATACGTCAAATTATGTAACCAGGTAACCAGAACACTTTAAGGTGGGGGTGGGGGGAGAAACAACAGCACTTTACAATTGCATAAGACTACACTCGACCCAGAGCGAGAGCGGCCAAACCCTTTCGACCTACTTATTCCCTACTCTTAATCAGCAAACTTACCGGAAGCAACACCACCATCCTCCTTCCAGACTACATTTTTACAATATTTGATCAACTATTTACACCACTTAATGTTAATTACCGTAACTCATCGATTTAAATATGATAAACAAAACTGATGGGGGTCATGATATGGCTGTAGTAATGACTGGTCAAACTTCCATTGTCTAAAGTACGCTAATCCTAATACAATATTACTATGCCTCTAACTATTTCCATTGTGCCGGATAGGCCCATCATACCTTGGTAACTCAAGTAGCACAACTGGAACATCTGCCAGCACCTTCTGCTCGGCAGGGTATGACTCCAATCATCGGTCCTTCAAGACTGCTGTCGACAAAAATACAATACAATGTTACAAATCAATACACTACGTAAACATTGTTAAATATATTTTAGTACTCATAATGCGTCAGTACTACAAATGTCGCAGTATATATACCCCCCAACAGGGGGTATATACGCCAGCTATAAATAATAGATATTTTTGCCCCTATGTGCGTTTTGACGGTGTACAGAGTGACAGTGTAACCTAGGGCTCTGTCACCAAAGCGACCCCAAAGGGTAACGGGGTACCAGCTCAGAGTAACAAAACGCCCTAACACTAACCTGCACACCTCTACTCGGCTAATTCTAGGGGCAAAATAACGTTCCATTGCGCCTCAATGAGCAGGTGGACTCAATAGCCAATCACGTTTCTCAGTTTCAGTTTACGTCACATTCTCGCAACCTGTACTGTCATTGGTCACCTCGACGTAATTGGATACCTTAGTAGTTAATGAGATTTATTTTTGGAAACTTAAATATATCAACTCAAATGTATACCCAAACTATGAGAAACATACATGTACCAAATGGATGAGAATTTCTTGATTTTGATCGAATTTACCTACTTCAAATTATCGGTTACATTAAGGACATGCCCGAAACGCTGCGCGTACTAGTGGCTTTAAAAAGAGTGTAATTACTGTACTATGCTATGTATTCTCACAAACCCAATGTACCTTCTTGTATATAAATAAATACATTTACTGTTTTACATTACACTCACAAATGATGATTTCCGATTAATTATTAAATAAGTATATTTATTAAATCATAACATTAATTATTCAAACTGTATGTACAGTACAGCATAGTACAGTAACGTAGAGTACAGTTCCGTACGGTACGATGCACTACAGTATACTGTACTGTATACATTACAGTACCGTACGATACAGTACACTATACAGATTAATTATTCTTCAATATTGAAGAATATTTAATACTATTCAATATTTAATAATATTCTTCAATATTTCATAATATTCTAGACTAATCTTCAATATTCTATAATATTCTTCAATATTTTATCATAAACTTCAATATTTTATATTATTCTTCAATATTCAACAATATTCTTCAATATTGAATAATATTCTTCAATATTTCAGATTATTATTCAATATTGAAGATTATTTTTAAATAATATTCTTCAATATTTAATAATATTATTCTATATTTAATATTAATCATCAATATTGACGAATATTCTTCAATATTGAACAAGATTGTTCAATATTGAAGATTATTATTTAATAATATTCTTAAATATTTAAAATTTTCAATATTGAAGATTATTCTTCAATATTTATTAATATTCTTCAATATTGAGGATTATTCAACAATATTGAAGATTATTATTCAATATTGATTATTATTATATATTTAACATTACTAATAAATATTGAACATTATTATTGAACATTAATATAGAATATTGAATATTATTATACAATATTATTAAATATTTAATATTATTATTATAGAATATTGCAAATATTATTAAATATGGAAAAATATAGATTATTGAACATTATTATTAAATATGGAAGATTATTATTAAATATTTAATATTATAAAAGATTAAATAATATTATTGAAGATTTTTAATAAATCTTTAAGATTAATATTAAATATTGAAGAATATTATAGAATATTGAAGATTATTATATAATATTATTGAAGATTATTCTAGATTTTTATTAAATATTCTATAATTTAGTCTTCATTAATATTCTTCTAAACTAAATACTATTTATTATTTACTTGCGAAGATTATTATTTTCTTCAATATTATTTTATATTTATTAGTATTAATACAAACTATTATTGACACTTTTTAAGATTACTAATAAATAATATTCAATATTGCTGATTATTATTCAGGTTGGAACATTAATTCGTGAATATTATTATCATTCATTATTATTTTGGACAAACATTATTATTTTTTTATTTATTATTATATTTTTAAAACATACATTATCGAAATACATCAAGTAATCTCAGAAAGGTCTTCACTGATTGATTTTCAAGTTTCACACAACGTTCCATTTGCATCAAGCAGCTTTATATCTAATATACACTATATACATACATACATGTCACCTATGACTAAAAACAAGACAAAACACATGAGCTTCTTATATAAGTTTCTACAGCAAAGTTCAAGTTTGTTTATTGACTAGAATAAATACATCGGAAACGGATACAGTAATTGACGGTATTTCTGAGGTTGCAACAAAACCTGCTCAGATTGGGGACTTGTTTATTTTATAATGTTATATAATAATTTAGTATATAAATTATTTATTTTTATTATATATTCATAAAATAGTATAATAAGCAATTATTGGGATTTAATCAAATAGCTAATTAGGATGAATGATATAAATTTTTGGATTAGTCCATAGTCCATAACAAAGTATTAAATAATTTGAATGAATATTCCTTATTTATAATGTTTAATTCAATTACAATTATTAACTACATCTATAGGTAGTAAATGAAAGTTGATTTCATTTAATTACAATTCATGGGAATACCTCTTAGCTATCTCCAGGGTTATCACTTTGGGGGCTCCGCCGGAGCATCCCCAATCCCGAAGCCCCAACGCGGCGGCTGCCCGCTGTAATTAAGTGTGTGTGTCTCGACCTCATGGCTGCAGTAGTCTGCCCTCGGGCTCCATCCCTTTTCCTTGTTCATCAATGGTGTACCTTGTGCGCCTTCCCTAGTCGGTCCTGGAAGTATCAAGGCAGTAAGGCTGGGCAGAAACGGCCACGCAGTATGAACGTCACACGCAAGGAACCTACCCCTTAAGGGAACTCCTGGAATTACTTTAAGAGGACGAAGACATTTCCCGAAGCGAACTGGCCAAGTCTCATTAATGGATAAACCCACGGTGATACCCTGCAGAAACTTTGAAAACTAACACTGCCACAGGGAATACGACTGACTACAGGGGAAAGGAACAGAAAAAGATATTCTAGGAAACTAGTCTGTACGAAGTAAGGTAACTACCCAACCGAGCAGAACTTTTGCGGGAAAACCCAGACAAGTAAGAAAAGGTTGGGGAAACCAGTTACCGTTTCTGGGTCAAGGCCACAAGTTAATCCAGGGGGAGGGATCTAGCAACTAATAATTCATTTCATAATAATCAAATACAATAATATATAAATAGAACAGCCCAACATAATCAATATTTATATGACCACTATGTTTATAATATCAATTCAATATATATATAAAACCATAAATCAATTATAAGACACAGGTCTTAAGGCTTAACTGCAACATGCTTGCGTCCAGTGACACGAATTATAAGGATGGTAACCGAGTCCGTTACAGTCATCTCCATTGTATGTGGGCATCAGAAAGCATGGTAACAGCTCAATAGTTAGCCTAAGAAACTGCCTTAAGAGGCGTAAATGAGTTTACTCTCAGTGTCAATGAGCATTCTGCGAGCACCAGTAACCCAAGAACTTCAAGATCTGGGGATCTGAGGCAAAGAGAAATGGACACCAGGAAGGCTAGGGATCCGTAAATGTTAAATAATTATTTTCATTATTATAGTAACATAACATAAATAAGGACGAAATTAGTAATCAAACTCCAACACTCATAATAAATTAATACGGACCACATGGAAATAACAATATCATGACAGTACTATAAATTAGTATACCAACTAATGAATATATACATACACATACATGCACACACATACATTCACAAGCAATAAATACTACCTTACAACTATCACTAACTTTTCACTAAGAAATTCTAAAAGACAGATAAGCACTAGAAGGATAGGGAAAAGCACAAAATACTCATTCCAAAGTACTACGTCGCAGGACCATTAGCCCGCTAACAGGGCGCACCCGCCCAGCTAAGGGCTCCACAGGGGTCCCGGCTAAGGTCGTAACGGACTGCCCAACCTAATGGGCCTACTACGGGGCCGACCGACGGCATGGCGAAAAATGCCAGAAAAAACCATAAGTCAACCACACGGAGGGTAGAAGTAACGCGACTAAAACCCAGACCTAATAATAAAGATTTTAAATTAGTAGTATGATACAGTAGGAACTCTATAAATAGATAAATAACTAAATGTCCAACAATGGGGAGGAGGAAGTAAGCAGGGAAACCCTAACCTTAACAAACCAACAATAACGTAGCATGCACAACACGAACACTAGTGGTCAACAAGGGCAAAATAAGGGCTTAACAAACAACACTTGCAAAATGTAAACTGTAAAATCCTGCATCTGAACATCAGCTGCAACACCTCCAGCTGGACATTGCCAACTGGTGCATAAACATCTGCAAAACATAAATAAATACTGGCAACTGCCCAACAGGGAAAACTTCGGTTATAAGTACAAGTCCAACTGCAAGACAATTACGCACCATATACAACCTGGGAGCCAACAAGGGAATGGACACTATCTTCGCCCGCTGCCGAAGATACAAAATTAGCGGCAACGGGCCAAGGGGGAAACTGCAGCAGTAAGGGAAGTGCGAATCAAAAACATATTCAAGCAATATTATCCCCATATTCTAACTCTTTAGACAAAACCGGATTAATGCATGAGCCTCAAATAAATTACAATCAAATACAATAAACTCAAAGGAGTGCTAATAGGCACAACGTCGGCTGCAACGCTTCTGCTGGAACTTCGGGGGCTGGCGAGTCGGCAGCTGGACCCTTGGGAGCTGGAACGCAGTACGATGGCCATTATCAGTTGGGACCGCTTCATCAGGAACAACTTCAGCCGTAGCATGGGAGCTGGTCCAACAACCGCTGAAACGCCACCAGGTGGACCATGTTCCACCTGAAAAGCAGCAAGCTGGGACAGCAACAGCTGTATCCACAGCAGCTACAACACAGACTGCCGGGAATGTCAACAGCCGGAACACCAACAGCTGCAGCAGCTGGACACCAAAATTGAGCAACAACGTACGAAGAGAGGCGCCTCGGACGCTAGGGCAGACATCTGGACCACCTGCAACAGACAAAACAGAGCATCGGCCGCTAGAAGACAGTGACACGTCGCAGGAAGAACATCGCCCGGACATCAACCCCTGAACGAAGGCACCAAAGACGTCGGTGGCTGTGAAAACCTTCCGGCATACACCGGGCAGACAAAATGTCTGGATAAACCAGCGAGCCTGCAGATTCTTTCGCCCTACACCGGCCATACAAAACCAATGGAAACGTTTACTAGTACTGGTCAACGAAACTGGTACTGTCTAGCTGTCACTAATTAATGACAAAAACAAGAAAACAAGTATAAAGCTAAAACGATAAGTAAAATGACATGCACTTAAGCAATGCATAACTAGCAATAAATTGCTGAAGGAACTAATCATAATAAGAGTCCAAGATAAACTTAAAGGGAGAGGCGTGAAGCCCGAAGACAGCGTCTACTACATCCTAGCTGACTTTACTTAACTTAAAGGTGAAGCATAAGTTAAACAAACATCGGTAAACCAGTAAAGTAAAAACATGCAGCAAGAGCCATGTAAAATGTTGAAATTTTCCAGAGGAAACTAAACGTAAATGCAGGGGCAAGAATAAACTTGAGGCAAGGGCCCGATCCCTCCAACTATCCATCCTACCTGACTTTACATAATAACTTAAAGGCAAAGCAGAAGTTAAACAAACAAATGTAAAACCAGCAAAGAAACATGCAGCTGGACACTGCATAAAATTCATTAATAAATTAAGGAAACTTATGGAAATTACTTGATAACTTAATGGCAAACAATACTTAAACAATCACAATTGCAAAACAAGTAAGAGTAAATAACGTGCAGCTTGACCCGCATAAATTGCAATAATAAATTGAGGTAAATTAATGGTACGCAATACAAAGATATTCTTAAAGTCAAACGCATGAGGCTTGCAACTCAGGAACTAGCACAACCTAGGTTAATTTACTTAATAAATCACTCAATACAATAAGCAAGAGTTTTCGTACGTTAATAACACATGCACGGGGCAATGCATAAATTGTATTAATAACATGCAGAGAGAAGCAAGTAATAATTATCAAAAGAAGGCACCAAACCGGGAAGGCTATGTAGCACCATCAAATGCGCAAAATAATCAAAGGCCGCTAAATATCACCAACGATGCCAATACGAGAACAAAAACGCACAAGGCGAACGATATCAAAAGTATCACAGTCACCAAGAATTCTATTGAGGGACAGGTGACCGCGAGGGGCGGTCGGAAAGCAACACGCACGCTCGTCCTGGAAGTCAGGACATTCAAGAAGGACATGCCCGACCGTAAGAGGGACAATGCAACTACGACAATAACGACCACGGCGGCGCTCCATCAAGTGACCATGGGTTAAGCTAGTATGGCCAATACAAAACATCGCAACAGCTCTTTCCCATCGCAACTTACGGTGCTAGGAGGACCGCCACGACCAAACAACATTTAACACTACGTACTTTATTAACACTAACAGACGATTAGCAAGCCGGCCAACGGGTAAGGACGGAGGAATGGATAACCCAGTAAAAGTCGGAATATGGAATACCTTCACGACAGATGAGACAAGAGCGGACAGCTTCCTTGCCGGAACCATCCGCACGCTCATTTCAAAACACCAATATAGCTGGGAACCAAACAAAACTCAACCGACTTCAATTTACTGTGAACGAGAAACGCCAAATGCTGGATCTCGACAACTACTGGATGAGCCGGATTAAAGGACCCGAGAGCCATCACGGCACTACGAGAGTCAACAACAACTACAAAGGAAGACTGACAACGAGAAACCACGAGACGAAAAGCACACACAATACCATACAGCTCTGCTGTAAAGATGGTAGTCTCCGCAGGTAAACGACACAAGTGCGACCAGGAAAAACAACATTAGCAAACACCATCCAAAGACTTAGACCCATCGGTGAAGACACACACGGAGGGGGAGTGACAAGAAAAGTGCTCAAGGAAACATGTTTTAGAACCGTAGGAGGGGTAAAACCTTTAGTGATGGTGGTCAAGCATCCACAAAACCGTGGAAGAGGCACTCTCCACGGGGGCAAAGAAGGAACACCAGGAGAAACAGAAATACGAACGGAAAGACAATCCTGTACGCGATATAACCGGACATAAAAAGGGAGGTGGTGAAGAGCAACACCAACCGCACGAGGGCTCAAACTTAAACCACCACAGAGGCGAGAGGAACGATGTTCTAACGATCGCGCAACATAGCGAACACAGTAGCCATCACGCCGGTCCTGGAGACACGAAGCCAGTCTCAACATACAACCTAACGACGGGAGTCGAACGAAAGCCACCACAACTGAGGCGCAACCAAGTATGGTGCAAACCATCAAGACGGCGAAGAGTAAGTAGCCAAACCATAATCGAGCTTACACAGGACGACAAAGGAGCAAGGAGTGCACTCTGCCCCAAAAAAACTATGGGACAAGACCCCAAAGAAGGGTAAGGGCCTTAGAGCACTCAACACGGAGGTAAGAGATATGGGGAGACCAACACAAACGAGTGTCAAGCAATAACCCCAAAAGATTCCCAGATTCTTTGTACTCAAGGGGATGACCAAAAACTGACAGAGGGACGAACAACGACCCGTTTCAGCGTAAAAGTCATGGCACAACTCTTACAAGTAGACAACTTCAAGCCATGATCGCTGGCCCAACACCACATGGCATCAATTGCAACTTGAAGCCGGCGCTGAAGGAGAGGCGATTCATCACCCTCACAGCAAAGGCTAAGATCATCGACAGAGAGCGGAGAAGACACCGGAACGAACACAGCAAAGAAGACCATTGAGGGCAACCAGAACAAGAGTAGTGCTCAGAACCATGCCCTGGGGCACACCTTCGTATTGCTGAAAAGAGGCATAGAGCGCGGTACCAAGGCGCATCCGAAAGGAATGACGAGACAGGAAGCTGTGGAGAAAGAGGGAGATTACCACGAAGGCCAAAAGAAAGAAGCTGGGACAGATTATGATATCGCAAAGTGGTGTCGTAGGCCTTTTCCACGTCAAAAAGGACGGCAACAACTGAGGTCTTCGCAGCAAAAGCAGTACGAATATAGACCTCAAAGTTCACCAGGACATCTCTCGTGCTGCGGCACTTGCGGAAACAATTTTCAGAAGGGGAGAGCAGCTGATGGTGTTCCACGAACCACATCAGACGAACATGAACCATACGTTCAAACAATTTGCAGACAACTTGTGAGAGCAATAGGGCCAAAGTCCTTAGGGGAAGTACCCACACACCCTGGTTTCCAAACAGGGAGGACAACGCCATCGAGCCAGTCCTCAGGGACTGACGACGACTCCCAGATCCCATTACACAGACTTAGTAAATACCGAGACGTGCACGGAGGGAGATGCCGAAGCATCTCAATGAATACCATTGCAGCCCGCCGCCGTAGAACCGCAGAGGGCCACGCCACAACGAAGTTCAGAGAGAACGGATCATTATAGGGAAGCTGAAGACGAGTGCAGAAATCTAAAGGACGAGACTCAAGGACAGGTTTACGAAGAACGAAAGATTGGGGGAAGATGAACACCACAGCTAACACAAGAAAAGGGCGAACGAAATTCAGAAGCGACCTGCAACGGGTCCGCCACAACAGTACCACCGAGGTGAAGGACCGGTGAAACATCAGGAACGAACTTGCCCGCTAGCTTCCGGATACGCTTCCAGATCTGGGGCACAGGAGTTTCCGATGTATTTGTTCAGACACAAGATACCCAACATTCACGTTTAGCTCTACGGATGGCCCTACGGGCCACCGCGCACTCTTTCCGAAACAAAAGATTCGCCCGTCTGCCGACGGCGGTGCCTCTTCCAGGCAGCACGCTTACAGCGGACAGCCCGAGCACAATCCGCATTCCACCAGGGAACGCACTTCCGCGGACTCACACAGGAAGAGCGAGGAATAGAGCGGAGGGCAGCGTTGAACACTCATGAAAAACGAGGAGAGCACGAGGGAGAGGCAGAAGGGAGAGGTCAGAGAGAGCAGCACTGAGGGTAAATGGGTTCAAGTCCACCTTAGCAAACTGCCACCTAGGGAAGGAAAAAGAAGGGAGAAAAGAGAAAAAGGAACCAAGGATGGGGAAATGATCACTGCCATGGAGGTCATCAAGAATCTGCCACGTGAAATCTAAGTAAAGAGAAGAAAACCACAAACATCAAGACAGGAAAGGGTAAGAGTCCCAGAGTCCAAGGCCTCACCAAAATTCAGGAGACAGGGAAGAACAGAGGATAAAGGGCTCAACAAGGCGACCTCGGGTATTCGTCATATCACCCCCCCAAAACACAATCACGACAATTTAAATCACCAAGCAGGAGCACAGGCTCCGGCAAGGAGTCCAGGTGGTGTTTCAAATCAGGAACAGAAAGCGACACACTCGGGGGGAGATAAATGGAACAAACTGTACCATTTCCCAAAAACAGATACGAGCTGCACAACAATGGAGACGCGAAAGAACAAATAACCGGACAAAGGGAACATCAGCGCGAATCAAGACAGCACATGAATTACCAGCCTGCAACGGGTCCCCACAACAGTACCACGGGAGGAGGAGGAACGAATAGCCACGAAAACGACCAGACCAGGACGAGCACCAAGCATCAGCTCCTGGAGACAGACACAAAGGGGCCAAAACCGCGAAATTATAACCGACTTCGAGGAAATTGCCGTAAAAACATAGAAGAACGTTCAATTCAAGAATATACTTGGACCAAACGAGAAAAGACAACAGAACAAGGAACAAACAAAGGTGAAAGAGCAACACAGCACGTTAAAGAATATCAGGGTCGGGATCAGGGGCTATGGGTAAACTGAGGAAAGACGGCGGGAAGGAAGCGGGAGAACAGACTCGAGGTGGGCGGCCGGGGTCCGGAGGAGGAACACGAGGAGGAAGAGGGGGAGGGGGGGGGGTAGATAGAGGGGAGCGCACCTCAGCAAGAACAGCAACCGAGAGGGAAGCGGGGGCCAAAGAAACCTCAATAGCAGGAACAGGGTGCGCAACCACTGAAATGGGAGGTGAAGGAGCAATACAGCAAAAAGTAGGGGCCAACGAAGAAAGCGAAGCCTTCTTAACCGCCGGGGAGGAGGGAGGAGAGGAGCCAGGCTTACGCTTCTTACTTAAAGACACAGGTGTCCCAGCAACTACGTACTGGGAAACGGATTCCAGCGTCTCAACAGAAGCTGAACGAGAGCACACATGACGGCCGTTACGAGAGCGATGGACATCAGCCTCCACCAACAGGCGGCGGGGAGACTCAATACATGGAGAAGGATGAGAAGGAGGATCGGAGGGAGACGAGGAAGAAGACACAGGAGACATGACACACCGAGTAGAAAGAAGGAACCCCACAAGAGAACCAGGAGGGGGCACCCTTTGGGACAGAACCCAAAGGAACAGAGGAGGGGGCAGTGGGCGTATCAGGGTCCAAGGCCTGGAAACGGTTGAGTCTGATGAAGGTGGGAAGGACGAGGAGAGGAAGAGCGCAACATTGCTTATAGATTTTTCTATATAGTGAGAAAAACTATTTTAAAGTCAACACTTTTACACAACTTTATGATTCACAGGTTAAGGCTCTTCACTTAAATGAAAGCCCTCGCTATGAGCGCCCCGATATGCCTGTAGTAGTTGTCAAACTGCCACTTATTTCAGCACCTCAATGTCAACCTCGTACCATCACCCTCCAACTCCGTTATTCCACAACACCCACACACTTAACTATTGCATGCCGCCAATCTACTCCCTTCATCCATTGTTTTGTTTGAAAAATGTAACAAATGCAACCAAATCCCGTCCACCACGCCCTATTGTCACGTCAATTTACTTACCTGGACCTCCAGTGGGTGCCGCTTCAATATTCACCACTGCGTTAATCCCGGTACACTTGCCTTACTGGCAACGTTATTAACTACTTGCTTTAACACTTATCTAAGGTACGGTCAAACAGTTCATCGAACTACGTTATGAGGCTTTCGCGCTATTTTATATGCATACTCATCCGCTCTGTTGCTATTGGGAAACGATAAATTGAATAATGTTATTACTTTGTGTTATTGCATCCACTTCTCCCTGCAACATGCGACACTGACAACATGTAATTTAAACTAAATTAACCTCATCGTTGATAAATTGGAAATTATTATATCCAAAACTAACACTAACGATTTTATTTCAACTTCATTAATAAATCTTTCACAACGTGAACAGTAATTCTTGCCAAACTAGCTTCCTCTCAAATTCCACAATTAACTTAACTACTCTGGCGCCTCACCGTGACATTGAAACTTTTGTGACTAACACTCACCTTTACACTGTAGTCAAGTGGCAAAACCTACAACCTATCCCCACGAAAATTCTACAACAATACTCACACTTACTGGCAAGTGTTCATTATTCGTGAAGTTGAAGCGTCTCACTGTTCAACTTCCAGACAGCCCAGGGGTCCTGGCAACCAGTCCGGTATTACCTGTAAGAACCCAACAGTTAACCTGAGGCTACAATATAAATTATTCAATCATGCCTATACCAGACCTTTAATTGCAACCTGCACCTACTGAAAGTTAATTTGATGTAGCTGCTCATTTCAAATGCATATTTTAAAGCCTCACATACAACCTGGATAGTAAACAGCTTTTGCAGCTGTTACTTGTGCGTTTACACCCTCTGACCAGCCTAATACTATTAATAAATATGTAGTGAGACTGAAGCTATGTGGTCGTCCAGTTTTAAATTTAAGACACTAAAAAAAAACCCTGAACACGATTTAACGGCTTGGTGCGGTATCCTAATAAAATATTAACATACCTCTTTAACTAGGTATTCAATAACATCTTTTAACTCATATCTGCTAACTCAAGTAGCAGATCTAGCCAAACCTCGACATCTGCAACCACCTTCTGCTCGGCATCGTCCAAGACTTGTTTCATCGGTCCACCACTGGTCCCATCACAACGGTAGTCTCCTCCACATTCCTACATCACCAGTAGGCTCCTTTCAAGCGATGCCTCTTCTTCCAACCATTACCTCATTCACTTAATAGCCCTGAAAATAATAACAGTACAATTAAATACATATTTATACATTTTTTTAGTACTGATTAGGGATCAGGACTAAAATTAACTGCCTATATATATATATCCCCCAAGAGGGTATATACGGCAGCTGTAAAATATAGATTTTTGACCCTATGTATTGGCGTTTTGCGGGTGTACAATATGAGTGTAAGCTAGGGGATCTGTCAGCCCTAGCGACCCCAAAGGGTAACGGGGTACCAGCTCAGAGTAACATCACGCCCTAACACTAACTTGTACACCACAACTATGCCAATACTGGGGTCAAAATAACGTTCCGTCGAGCCTCACCCACCAAGTCGACTCAACAGCCAATCACGTTTCGATTTTTCAATTGACGTCACTTCTCGCAACCTCTACTCTCATTGGTCGGCTCCACCTAATTGGATAATCTAGTAATTCATGACAATTATGTATGAAAACTAAAGTATATATACCCAATGTATGAGAAACATACATATACCATATGTATGAGAAACAATGACTTTACACTCACAAATTATTACTTTTGATTACTTAATAATAAGTATTATTAAAATGAATAAATAATAGGATTACTTATTCAAGCTGTAAGTACAGTACAGTACCGTACAGGGCATTCCACTACACTACTGTTGCCTACACAAAACTACACTACCGTACAATACAGTATGGTAATGTACAATATCGTACACAATAAAACAGTATAATGCAGCGCAATACAGTATAATACATTACGGTACAGTCCACTACAATGCACTACAGAGCAGTACAGTACACTATAGGACACCAAAGTACACTACCGTACACTCACAGTTCCTTACTTGCCTTTCAAATGTACCAACGGCATCACCATTACAATTGTTTTCTACTTAAATAACTGTTTCTTCAATGTATCAATGGGGAGAGAACAGATTGGTGCAATGGCGGTCTATGGCAACTGACGCTAGTATCACTAACCACCATTATTATTGCATTATTACCTTTCCAACCCTTCATTTTCCTCTATAAACCACACCAATGTATATTTATATACGTCATTTAAGCCATACATGCACACTGCAACTAGTGATAACGATTATTTAACATGCAATCAATTAGTGTTTTTACACATTTATGCAAAGTCATCACTCATTTGGATTTATAAAGATCTTGTGCGTTACACTTTTCATCATTTGAACTCTTCTCATTCGTTTTTAGAGAATGGCGCTATATTATGCTTTGTTCAGCTAAGCTAAGCAAGCAACGCTAGACTGCACTAGGCTACGGTAAGATAGGTAAGGTTAGATAGAGTACCGTCAAATATAGGGTACAATACAGGGTACAGTGCACGCTACAATACAGTACAGAACATTATAGTACACTACCCTACAGTACCGTTCACTACAGTCTAGTACAATACAGTATAGGACAGTGCAGTAGAGGCTACAGTACAGGGTGCAGTACATTACACAACAGTATAGTACAGCATAGTGCAGACCAGTACAGTACAATACATTAAAGTGAAGTACAATGCATTGTACATACAAGTACCGTGGAAGAATTTTCTACTGCAAATTCCCCCAAACAAATCCGACTACAAATTCCCCTAAAAAATATTAGAAATTACCCGAGAAATCACCATACAAAATTCCTACTAGGATTCCCCTAAAAAATCTACTAAAAAATCACCTATAAATGTTACTACAATTCCTACTATAAATCCTACAAGCAATCCTACTACGAAACCCCTACAAATTCAACTAAAAATCATCAACAAATTATACTTGGAATCCTCCTATAAATCCTACTACAAATCTCTATAAATCATACTAGCAATCCTACTACAATTCATACTAGACAAACTATTACGAATCTCACTAAAAATCCAACTACGATTCCCCTAAACATTCTACTAGAAATTACTGACAATTCCTATTTTCTTCAATATTTCATATTATTCTTCACTCAATATAAATGCAAATGTTCATTTGTGCATAACCGCTATTCAACCTAACTTGTTTACCGATTGCCTTGATTTTTGACACAACGTTGCCTTCCAATACACGCGTCTTTTTTATATACCTACTATACAGATGGCACACCTGTGACAGGTAAAACTATGTTTTCCTTCAAAACACCACCATCTGTTCCATGTCAAAGCAACACACATGTTATACTAAATATGTTAAAATTACATTTCAATGTTTATGATTGCAATGATAATTTGATTTTTCATACATTCTGATTTATATCCATTTGGATTTCATTATTTGGTGTCATTTCCCTTGGAATTGAGCTGTGTTGTTTACCATCCCGATCATTTCATGAATATATTTGTTTTTCCATATTTTCATGACTTTTTCACTGAAATTCTTATATTTCACTGATGGAAACATCACATCACTTCATGTTCCCAATTTTCTCATGGGAACATGACACCATTTGGGAACGCATCGGACGAGGGCGTGGGGAATGGTTGGGAGGCCCAGGAGACGGTGAGGGGGAATGGTGGGGGGAAGATTGGGGGACAAGGAACGTTGCTGTGGCTCACCAACGCATTGCCAGGTACTGTTAGTATTCAATAATATTGTTCAATATTGATATTCTTAATTCTTATTATTCAATAGTATTGAATAATATACAATATTATTGAATATTAATATTATTCATTAATATCGATTATTATTCATTAAGTCAATAAAATTAAATATTCAATAACATTTATTATTCAATATTGCCCAATACTATTCAATAATATTAAATATGGATCAATATTATTAAAATATATTGATTTATTCAATATTCTACATTTTTGCCTTAAATTTGGTCTATATTTTATTCAATATCATTTAATGATCTACAATAATGAATATTTTTGCTACGGGATTTGTACGTTACCTGAACCTAACTTCTGCCACTTTGCTTGGGTTCTCTGTTCTCTTCACATAGCAAAATACGCACAATTCCACAACACGCTTGGTGCTCACATCTCCACACAACGTCCTCCAGCCGCCGACCCAAAGCTACACATGCCCCACTAGGTCCAGGAACAGTCACGAGGTACAGTCCAGCCAGGACCATCTTCCCAATGTCAGGTCAGGACTATATGCAATCGATTTTTCACTTGCATATAGTCCTGGGGACCATTCAGGACTGTTACCATTTGTGTTCCTCACCTGTGCCCCAAAGACTGACACTATTTGATAAATTCATATGCCCAACATTACCATCAGAGTGCCGGCACGGAAGTGGTTCAAATAGCTTCGGCTATCACTGCCTTATGTACGGTCGTGATGGTCAAGTGCATTAAGGCATCCTGTACATACCAGTTGCGTTGCTCCTGCCAGTATGGGCTTTGACTCACTTCTCGGGTGCGAGTTTTCAGATATATATAGCACACATACATACACGTATACAGCTAGGATCATTACCTATATCTACAATAATTATCCTATGTACCTATAATAAATACCTTACATATCTTAGGATATGTAGCATATGCTAATAAAGGATATTATATATATATATCTACATTATATATTGATAATCTAGAATAAATATCGTAATCTGGATATGTATATCTGATAACCTAGATGCATCTAGATATGCATCTAAAATATATATAATGTTCTAGATATAATCTATATATATTATTTTATTTTAAATAAATATGTATTGTACAAAATATGTACTGAACCATGTCACGAGATTTAACTACAAATCAAGCCCTACAGTCCATGTACATATACAAAACATAAAACTACGTATTACAATCTTGGTCGTAACTCCAAGTAACAAACCATACACTTATTACTGTGCACACAACTGTTGAACATTACTAAAGGTTATTAACAATACTATGTTTGCGTATATTATTTAATGAGTTCTATTAGTCTCCTGCTTCAGAATTATCAAAACTACATTCAAAATTCCCAACTTGTACATTACAAATCAACTAATACAATAATGAAAATGTCATGCTGGCTTTACAAGACTGTAATTACCATATTTGTATCCTCACATTCCTTATGTACATTCTTGTATATGCATAAATAAATTAAATAAATGCTGACAGTACACTCTTGTAATAATGGCACATATCACTATCTCCTAACTGATAAATATTAAAGGATTACCTTTGACATGCAATTCCACAGTGAGGTCATAGGTCCCTTTACAAATCTATGCATAAGTATCCAATGGTAAAACAAGATATAAATTTTAAGGCAAACATATCCATGGACACCCCTTAGTCAACAGACATGGCATCATCATCATCCTTATCTTGATCCTTGGTTTTATCAGAAACCTCCTCCTCTTCTTCCTTCTTACTGCCTTCCTCTTTACCTTTCTTCTTTCCCAAGGCCTGAAAGTAAAAAATAAAATATATGAATGATTGATTCTATATTACCATGACTTTTATTGACACTCCAAATACAATACTAAATATCATGTATGCTCTACTGTCCTAGTTGTATTTACAGCCGATGAACTACACTAAATCGACAACTAAACACTATCAATCCTATTAGTTTTTAAATCTACTTTTAATGCTAGGGATACTGGTCCAAACACTTGGTCATTATTTAAACATTCAATTTATCTCTTCTGTTTATTATCCAAAATATTTCACTCAGTATGTATCCATATTGGCAATTCACAACTATGAGGCAAAGTATCAAATGTCTAGTTATGTGAGATGACAAAAGCATATTACTGTATTGTATAGTGTGGGCGATACGCAACCATTTACTTTGTTGGTACTAACCAAATAGCTGGAAATATCCTGGCACTGTGTGGTCAGGTCACAATGACCTCAAGTAACATCCTTCCCAGTGATATCACAGTAACCTATGACATCAGGTAAGTTACAACCTACATTTGGATGTGCATCTATATAGATTAAGTAATTATCAAAACAATGCACCAAACCAGGAAGGCTATGTAGCACCATCAAATGGGCGGAATAATCAGAGGGCGCTAAATATCACTAAGGATGCCAATATGAGAACAGAAACGCACAAAGCGAACGATACCAAATTTATCCAATTCACAAAGAATTCGATCGAGGGACAAGTGACTGCAAGGGATAGTCGGAAACCAGAGCATAGAGAATGCCATAAAGTTCTGCCGTGAAGATGCCAAGTTTCCAGAGGCAGGCGACACATATATCTGGTCAGGAAATAACTTGTGATGGCCTACACTGTCTGCAATCTTAGACCCATCAGTGAAGATGGAAATGAAATGGGAGTGTGAAGAAGTGTTCAAGGAAAACGCATTTCTGAACTGTAGGAGGGGTAAAACCTTTAGTAATGTGGCTCAGGGATTTACTAAATTTAGCAAGGGAGACCCTCCACAGGAGGGCAAAGATGGAATACTAGCAGAAATATTCTTAATACTAACCGAAACAGGATTTTGCAGCCGACAAAACTGACCAGAAAGACCGAGATGGGTGAAGGGGAACATGAGGTACAGGAGGGGTAAAAGTCAAA